CCCTCTGTGGGAACCTAATCCTCAGCTCTTGATACAATACAAGCCAATCCTAGGGTTTCTGAATGAATGTTTTTGGTATTACATGCAGTGGTTTCTGTAAGGTCTGGAAGCTCTTACCTTAACCAGGTGTGTGGTTGCACACGGGGGTTGAGGGCGGTGCTGCTGTGGTAACCACTGCTTGTGGTGAAAGCTGGATGGCTTCCTGTCTGAGTCCTGTTCTTCCTTTTTGCAGGTCACTTTGCATGACATGATCCTTAAAAACATTGAGAAGATCAAGAGGCCTCGGAGCAGCAATGCTGAGACCCTCTATTAAGTGTCAACGTTTGAACTTGAGAACTGTTCAGTCAACTAAAGACCGTCATTGCCTTGGTTTGTTACGTGACTATCGAGATGGGAAACTGGCTGGAAATAGTATTGCATTCTTAGTTAAACTCTAAAGAAATTCTTGCCTAGTTTTGTGATTGGTTTTGTTCAGGTCTCAGGAGCTCTCCCTCTTCCTCTAGTCACTGGTAGCAGAGGCCATGCTGCACTGGACGCCCCAGAGGCTGCAGCAGCCAGGCAGGGACATTCCTTCATGCCTTGCTTCCTACCTGAGTGGGAACAACACTATAGACCAAGCCCTTGTCCTGTCCCATCTCTTGTCTGGTGGCTGCACTGGGGTTTCTGGAGCAGGGCAAACAGCCCAGCACAAGGGCAGCCTGGCAGTGCCACAGCAGGGAAGCTCTCTCCCCACTGCTGGCTGTGGCCAGGCCCCTCTGCCACCAGCTCTGCACTGACCAGGGACCCTGCCCCTTGGCAGCTGTGCTCTGCTGCCTCTGAGCCATCTGCACTCCCTGTCTGGCGCTCTCCTGGCTCAGCAGAGCCTGCCCCACAGGTCCCTGCCTCACCAGTTCTGTCTGGATCAGTGCAGAGCATGAGGCAAATCCTTGGAACTAGAGCTGGTGCTGTCCTGGCTGTCATGAGCTCAGGTGGCTTCTGCCATTTGACTAGAGCCACTTTCTTGGCTGAAACCAATGTTCTTTCACATACATCCCAGTTGCCCCTTCAGCATGGGTTGCTTTTGCCTGGGCTGAGGGAAGGGAGGGGTTGGAGATCTGATGCTAAAGTCCTAAAATATCTCTGCATGTGATCAGACAGAGTCCCCCTGTCCCTGGCAGTGCTTCCTGGTGCCTGGGCAGAGCAGGCTGGCTGCCACAGCTGGTGCTTGATGGTGAGGGTGGCTGATACCCACCTGGTACCTTGCAGACCTTGCAGTTTTTCCCCTGCCAAGGGCACACTCCCGTGCCCCGTGACTCCTCTGAGCTGCCAGAACATTTCGTGGTCCATTACAAGCCCCTCTGGAAATGACTGGTTGTATTGCGTCAGTTTTTGTGTGTGGCAAGTGGGCCCATAACGCTGCAGGCTTCAAAATTTTCTTATTTATAGTATTTCTACTTAAGTCCCCTAATCAGGGAATGTTAAATCATTTGTTTCAGGAACCTTGCTGTTTCCCAGGTCTCGCTGTTACACCTGTATATTCTTATTGTGCAGTAGCCTTAAGAGTTGTGTTAATCTCATTGTAACAACAGTGACAAAATTTTTTTTTTTACTTTGTTTTTAGTTGGTTTTTTTTTTTTCCTCTGCTTCCACATCTAAGAGCCATGTTGTCTCTTGCTGGTTTCCCAGGGATTTGCCCAGAGTGTGGCGGGCTGCTGGCCCCTGCTATAGACTCTTCTGTTGTTGTTTGTAGTAAGTCAACTCTTAGTCTTCCCGCTAATAAACATTCAGTAACAAACCAACTGCGTTGAGCTGCTGTGTGGGAGCAGCACTTCCCCTTGTGTTTCTTTGTATTGATTCCTTTTAATTTGTTCAGCTTTCTTTGCGAGATGAACCTATGTAAACTTTTACCATGTTAAGAAATTAAAATAAGGTACTTGGAATTCTTTCAAGGCAGCCCCTTGTGTGTGATGCTGGGCTCTTAGGCCATGCAGTTTTAGTGTCCAGTTCTGGTTCTGCTTTTCTCACACTCAGTTGCTCCTTCCCTTCATTCTCCTCATTCCTCTTTGTTATAAACTAATCTGCTGTGTAGGTGGTTTCTGTTCCATCAGCATGCCTCACGTTGGGCATGATTTTGCCCATGGGCTTGGGATTGATGGAATCTGTCCCTTCTCAGCCCAGAATGGGACTTGGGCTGTCCCAGTTCAAACAGACGTGGTGTTTCTCTGAGCCTGCAGTTGCTCAGGGTTTCTCTGCCAGGCAGGTGTCTCGTGGCTGTCCTGGATGCAGCACCCAGTGTCTCTGTGGGGCACACATCTCTTGCTCCTGGCTGCCCCCTGTGTGTGGTACCCAAGGAGAGGCAGCTGCCCTGCAGTGCCCTCTGCTCTTCTGGGCATCATCCTGTTCCTGCCTTCCCTGTGTGCTGGGGCACTCCAGGCTCTCCTGAGTGTCCTGCCCCCATCTGCAGGGCTGCAGCCCCTCTGAGCCAGCAGAGGGTCCAGGGCTGGGTGCCAGACTGGGGTTGTGCCTGTCCTGGTCATGGTGCTGCCCAGCAGAGTCTGACTGGCCCTGGGAGCAGCTGCAGACTGGAGCTCTGGCTGTGGCACCTCCGGCTGCCCAGGAGTGGGAGCAGCCACTTGTGCAGGGAAGTTCCTGCAGTGTGGGAAAGCCCTGCAGGTGCCTGACCCGTGCAGGGAGGGGGCACTGAGCTGCACACAGATCCCAGGCCAAGGCAGCTGGAGCAGAGCCCAAAGGAAGGACTTGCTGGCAGGACTTGGTGTGGTGCAGCACGAGAGGCTCCTCCTCACCCCAGTCAAAAAATCTGCACTCCCAGGGAGCCAGTGCCAGCACTCCCATGGTAGGATGGAGCACCCAGGACAATTGTCCTGGCAGGTGCTGGCAGGGAGTGGGGTTCCTCTGTGGGAGCAGGGGAGGGTTTGTTTTCTGGGAGCAGTTGCAGTGTGCAGTCAGGGCTCTCTGCTTCACCAGTCCTTGAAACATCCCAGCTCAAGTGCAGGGGAGGAGAATAATGGCTCAGCAGCTGTGTGCAGCCACAGCACTGCCAGCAGCACAGCTGGAATGGAGCAAGGGTCAGGCAGGTCCCACTGTTGTGCTTTGCATAAGCTGATCCCATGAGGTGAGGCATTGAGAGTGGGAGCTTTCTGAAGTCTGAGCTCTGGTTTGGGGCTTGCTCAAGCCTTGCTGGTGTTGGGAGTGTTGGCAGGGGTGTTCCTCCTGTGCCCTTTCCCCAGCTGTCACAGTTACTGTCTCTGAGTTTCCCCAAGCCAAAACCTGTCTGGTTTGGGTTTCAGTAAATTTCAGATGCTATTTTTTGCCACCTTTACCTTTCTGTGTGCGTGAAAAACAGCACTCCCATCTCCCTTGCTGTGTCTGGGGAACGTGGGCAATTTAGCAAATACAAGATGGGCAGTGCCTACAAGCAACCACACAGCCAAAATAAAACATGGGTAGGATGTGAATTCTCCATGGGGTGTGGGTCAGTGATGGGCTGATCACACTGGGGACTGGCATGTGGGAAGCAGTACGTGCACTGAGCAGGTCATAAACAAGTTAGGGAGAAGTTACAAGTTGCTGCTGTTATTACAGAGACGTGCAATTTCTTTAATTCTAGGTTAGCTTTAAGCTGCTGCAGGCTCCTTTTGGAGAGGGGACACGAGCAATTCCATGATGTGTGTGGCCCCCAAAGAGCCTTCATTGCTTTCCATCAGGCAGCTATTGACACAGGTTCTGGCTCTGCAGACTTAGTTAATTACTCTGCTTCCTCAAATTCCTACTGCAGGATGAAGATGGATTTAGGGCTGTTTTGTTTATTCTGAATCAGCTTTAAACCAGCGCTGGAAAAATCCAGCAGAAACAGACAGGACTAAAAAACCTGTTATCAGACAAGGCCTCCGTGGCACAGGCTCTGCAGTGGGGCAGAGGCAGTGCAGAAAGCTGCCATCCTTATCCAGCAGCCCTGGGGTGTGTGCTGTGGTTGGTTTGTCATGGGGATGTCAGTACAGATTAGGGTTTCTCTTTCTTTCCAAGCCCCCAACGTGCAGAGAACCAGGAGTGTTCCCACAGTCTATTTCTGGATCTCTCTCAGCCCAGCTGCAGGGTTGAGTTGTGATTTGTGGGGCAGGAAGGCCTGTGGAGTTTTCCTAAACTACTGCTGTGCTGCTTGGAAAGGGCCCTTCTGTAATTGCAGCCTGTGCCGTGGCTTTGAGGAGCTGGAGATGCAAACCCAAGGGGCAAAGTCAGACCTGAACAATCTCTTTGTGCTTCTCAAAGGAAAGATCCACATGAGCTTTGTCCTGCAGCCATGGAGGTTCTGTTGCAGTCTCACCTTGGCTGTGCTGGTGTGTGTGCCAGCAGAACACTTGTCCCATTCCTGGGAGGCAGCAGGTATGTCCTGGCTGTGCTCCAAACCTGACCCAGGACAGCAGAGCTGCTGCTCTCTGCTCCAAGTGAAATGGGCACCATGTTCCAGGCCAAAACCAAAAGGGAATTTTTCTCCCAAGCCTAACCTCAGGTAATCCTTGAAACCTGACTGACTAGGAAATCAGTGCTGCTTTGCCTTGTTTGGGGTTACCCAGAGGCTTTTGATTCTGCTGCTGGGAGCTGATGAGAGCAGGTATTTCTGCCACCTGTGGCTGCTGTGTCCCATGCAGCCACGGCTCTGTTCTCCTCTGTGCTGTCCCTGCCCGTGCTGTGTCTGTGCTGCAGTGAGCCCTTTGCTGGCTCTGTGGCTGCATGAAGCAGAGCTGTGGCTCTGAGGCTCTCCTGGCTGGTGAGGCAGAGCCCTGTGTGCTGGCACAGATATGGTGAGTGTGTCCCTGGCCTCACAGCTGCCCTGAGGAAGGCTCAGGCTGCCATGGTGCTGAGGATAATGGAGTGTGTCCCACGGCAACGTGGCTTTCTGCCTTCCAGCCCGGTGTCTGAGCACAGAGGGGCTGAGCCCCAGGCAGGATGTGCTGCAGAGGAAGAACCAGGGGCTGGTGGGCGCTGTCTCCCATCAGGAAAATGATGCAAGGAAGAGAAGACGAGGGTGAGGTGAGGTGAGGCTGGCAGCAGGAGTGGAAATATTGGGTTGAATCTCCAGCCATGGTTCTCTTGGATGCCTTGTCCTACTCAGCACCAGCTCTGGGACTGCAGCCAAGGTGGTGAGTCTTGTCTACCCCGAGCATCTGCTGCGTGGCAGGAGGGAGCACCAAGTCCTGGCTGCCTTGCTCTGCCAGGGCTGTGAGCAGCACTGAGGCCAGCAGGGACTGTCTTTGGGGTGGCACAGAGCAGCTGTGCTGCCCAGCCTGGGCACTGTGGATTGGCAGCACTGACAGCAGGCACTGCCAGGTGTGGGTTCAGGGTCCTTCTCTCCTTGAGGGAACCTCTTGGAAACTGCACCTCGGTTTATCTGTGAATTGGAGGCAGAGACAAAGGCTGGATGATCCTGTGGCAGTGCAGTGTTGGGGATAAATTGGCTCAGAGCTGGTCTGAGGTGCAAACTAAGAGCTGCTTGTTCACAGCACGTTGGGGCCTGATTCTCATCCTGAACTACATCTCCATGCCTGCCAAAGTTTTTCTGCTGCTACATAGAAGGATGTGTTTTCAGCAAAGGCTTCCATGTGGAGACTGAAAAAAATTAAATAAAAAGTAACTCCAAGCTTGGAATGGTGTTGCCAGGGAGAATGTTTACAAGGAAGCAGCCTGATAAACAAGGAAAAGCGGTGAGTTGTAAAGAGGTGAAATTGTACAGTGTGGCAACAATTCCCAGCTTGTCAGAGCCTCACAGTGGTCACAGCCACCACAGGCTGACTGCAGAATCTCCGTTTTTACAGGCAGCCTCAGGAAAGCAGGCTGGACTGAAAAAGTAACGGAATTATGTGGAACTTGTCTGAGTCACTGACCCTACATCTCCACAAGTTCTTTCAGGGCACTGCTGTGAAGGAGGACCAAAGAGGCTGCAGCTGAGAGGAGATCTGCCCTTTCTGGTCACCAATGGTTTCAGATCTCCTCCCCTAGCCTCTCCCAGTCTTTTGTACTTTCTGTGTTAATCCATCCAGTGCAGCATACACTGACAGAGGCAGGAGCTGGAAAGCCTGCTCTGAAAGTGTCTGATTGCTGCTGGACCAGCTGCAGGCATGAACCTGAAAACCGTGCTCATCCTCCTCGGTCTGGCATTAGCCACGATCTTCGCTCTGGTCTGCGTGCTGCTGACCAGAGAAAGGACCCCCAGAAGCTGCCAGCACCTGCCCCCGGAGCAGGAGGACACGGAGGATGGGCAGAGCCTGGTGTTTGCCGACCTGACAGCTGAGGAGATGTCCCAGGTGGTGCTGTACCTGCGGGGCCACCTCGGGGTGCCGCTGGTGGACGCGTCCCGTGCCAAACCCTCGGAGAACTGCATCGCCTGGCTGGATCTGCAGGTGCCCGCCAAGGCAGAGGTGCTGCGGTTCCTGGACGGCGGCGGGGCTCGTCCCCCCCGGGAGGCTCTGGCCGTGCTGTACTTTGGGCAGCAGCCAGAGCCCAACATCACCGAGTACGTGGTGGGGCCGCTGCCCGGGCCGGCGTACCACCGGGACGTGACGGTGCAGAAGTACGGGGGGAAGGTGCCCTACCACCGCAGGCCCACGCTGGCTGTGGAATACAAGCAGATCGGAGCGTTTCTGAAGAGCCAAGTGTTCCCCTCGGCTCCAGCTTTCATGCAACAAGTAATGGAGTACGACGGAGCCAATCTTGCCGCGGTGACGGCTGCTCCCCGCGGATTCCAGTCTGGGGATCGGGTCACCTGGTTTGTCCTGTTTCAGAACGTGAGTGGATTCTTTGTGCACCCGGTGGGGCTGGAGGTGCTGGTGGACCACAGCAGCCTGGACGTGTCGCAGTGGGCGGTGAGCAGGGTGTTCTACAACGGGCAGTACTACAGGGACATGGTGCAGCTGGAGAGTGCCTACGTGCAGGGTCGGCTCAGCGTGGAGAAGGTGAGGAGAGCACCGTGGGACGGGGACTTCTCGTCCATGAAGCCCCGAGCGCCTGCGGCCGCGCTGTTCCCGCTGCAGTTTGAGCCGCAGGGTCCCCGCTACAGCGTCAGGAACAACCGGGTGCTCTTCCAGGGCTGGAGCTTTGCCTTCGGGATGAGCGTGAGCACGGGCCTGCGGCTGTTTGACATCCGACACAAGGGGGAGAGGGTTGCCTATGAGATCAGCGTGCAGGAGGCGCTGTCCGTGTACGGCTCCAACTGCCCGGCCGGGATGTCCACCCGCTACATGGACGGCAGCTTTGGCCTGGGCCGCTACACCTCGCCCCTGGTGCCAGGGGTGGACTGCCCCTACCTGGCCACCTACGTGGACACGCACTCTCTGTCTGACAGCCTGAGGCCCAAGAAGAGGAAGGCTTCGCTCTGCGTCTTTGAGCACAACCTGGGCTCCCCTCTGAGGCGCCACTACTCCAACTTGCAGTCGCTCTACTACGGGGGGCTGGTCAACTCCGCTCTGGTCCTTCGCTCCATCACCACCGTGGGCAACTACGACTACGTGTGGGACTTCATCTTCTACCAGAACGGGGCCCTTGAGGGCAAGGTGCAGGCCACGGGGTACCCAAGCTCGTCCTTTCTCCATGGGGATGGCCTGAGATACGGCAATAGGCTTTGGGAGCACACCCTGGGTACGATACACACCCATTTTGTCAACTACAAGGTGGACTTGGATGTGGGAGGTAGGTCTGGGTCTTCTCTTAATGCCTGCCATTGTTCTGATAAGCCCCAGAGCTTTGGGGTTTGCCTCCTTATCCATACAGTACCTAATAACTCACATCAGAACTCTGCTTCTTTATTCTCCTAACCTCTTCTTTCATCGCAAATTTATTATTCGATCTATAAAACAGTCTGTCAAGGTCATTGAGTGGAAAGCAGTGGGAATTTCTGGGAGCTCTGTGTTCAGCTCAGGGAAAGTATGAAAGGTAGCAGCTGAAAAATGTTTGTGTTTCCTTGAGGCCTCCGGTCTGGCACGCTGTGTGTTGCCATAGGCAAGGCCGGGCAGACGGGGAGTTGGCCCTGTCTGAGCACAGAGTGAGCCTGCTTTCACAGCACTGCTGCTGCTCCTGGCACTCCTTCTCCCTTGGGAAAATCCTCCTGGTGTCTCACTGCCCCATGTAAAGCAGGGCAGGTATCCTGGTGCTCAGTGGGGCTGAGCTCCTGCAGATCCCTCCCCTTCTTCCCTTGAGGAAACACTGGGGTGTTGGATCCTGGATTGTGAAGCTGCTACAGCGACCCAGCGAGGTCCCCTGCTCCCGTGTGCAGTCACAGCCTGGCAGTGGATGTCTGCACAGGGTTTTTGAGTCCAGGATAGCCCCCTGCTCACAGTGAAGTGCTGGCAGCTCCCTGGAAGTGCAGGGATGCTCGGGGCACCTCTGAGTCGCCCAGAAGGCGATGGCAGCTCCTGCAGTCTGGGGACAGTGGGGCCACACCTGGTGCCTGTTGTTGAAAACAGCTTCTGTAAAGGCAGAGGGAAAATGTTCTACATCTGCACAGGACCAAAGAGGTCGCTGGTGGGCAGTGGCTACATCTGACCAGCCTAAAGAGAAATGCAGGGACAGGGAACAGGAACAGCCCCAGGGATCCCGGCTGTCTCCTGCCGTGTGGAAAGTAACCTCAGAGCTGTGTTGGTCAAGCTGCAGCTAACCCCAGAGCAAGCATTTGGTGTCCTCCTGTGATGCAGGGGTTTGTGTGGCCTTGAAAGGTGCTGCTGCTGTTTTTACAGTCAAAATCAGGGCTGGTACTGGTTCCTTCCTGCAAGCAAGGCTCAAGAATGTGCTAAAATACCATTCCTGTTTGGGGGTAAGGTCCTTTTCTGTGACTTCAATGCCCCTGTGTTTACAGAGCCTGAGCCCTGACTGCTGTACAGCCCTCCTGAGCAGAGCAGTGTGAATCCCAGACTGTTCCTGTGGTGAGAGGGGAGCCCTGTCCAGGCAGGAGGGCTCGGGGTCGTGCAGGGAGCTCCTGCAGATCCCTCCCCTCCTTCTCTTGAGGAAACACTTGGGTGTTGGATCCCGAGTTGTGGAGCCACTACAGTGACCCAGAGAGGTCCCCTGCTCCCGTGTGCAGTCGCAGCTTGGCTGCCCCAGGTGCCTCCAGTGTGCAGGATGAGCAGTAACAAACTTGTGCTCTAGTTAATTAGACTGTGCTTACATGGGAGGCAAACCTGTCCTTCTGTCCTGGGGTGGAAGAACATCCCTTGTCCCCTCTTGTCTCTCATTGCCTCTGCTGCAGAGTGGTGCTGCCCAGCTTGGACAAGTGTCCAGCCCTAGGTCCACACAGGGGGTGTTGTCATGGCACGTGGGGCTGCAGAGCAGCAGCTGCTCCTGGACAGGGTCGGTGCTCAGAGCCCATGGAGAGCAGGGAGAGCAGGCACTGTGATGTCCTTGGGGAACAGGGCACCGTGGGCACTCTCCTCAGTGACTTTGTTTTGGCTCCACAGGGGTGAAAAACTCCCTCGTGGCCCATGACATGGCATTTGAGATGGCACAGGCTCCCTGGAGCCCAGAGCAGCAGATAGAGCGGCCACGACTCACCAGGAAAGTCCTGGACACAGAAGACCAGGCTGCCTTCCGACTCCAGTCCAAGATGCCCAGATACATCTACTTTGCAGCCAACAGCAAAAACAAGTGGGGCCACCAGCGTGGCTACAGGATCCAGATCACCAGTTCTGCAGGGGACCACATCCCCGAGGCCAGTTCCATGGAGAGGGCCATCAGCTGGGCAAGGTCAGGCTGCTGTGGCTGGCGTGGCAGGCTCTCAGAGACCCCCTCAGCCCTGCCAGCTGGGAAGGCATTGCTGGATGTCCCTTGATGGGAGGCACAGGGAAGCACTCTTCTGGGCTTGCTCCATCCGAGCAGGCCTGTGCTCTGCAGGCTTTCAGGAGCTGATTTAGCTCTGCCCTGCCTCGGGGGGCTGCTCCCTTCTCTTTTCTTGTCCTCAGGTACCAGCTGGCTGTCACCCGGAGGAAGGAGGAGGAGCCCACCAGCACCAGCATCTACAACCAGAACGACCCCTGGACACCCACTGTGGCCTTTGCTGACTTCATCAACAACGAGACCATCACCAACGAGGTGAGCTGGGGTCCCTGGGCTGGAATGCAACACCCAGCCCAGGCTCAATGGGAGCTCCAAGGAGCAGGGAGACTCCAGCACCACCCCTGGGACAATGTGCCCAGCTTTGAGAGCAGCAGCCCAGAGGAAAGGGCTTGAGCATCCCCTTCTCTGTGTCTGCTTGGTACTTTGGTCAGAGAACATAGAGAGTGTGTGCAGAGCAGAAGCTTGTTTCTCCTGAAATATGAGTCTCCTCAAGCCAGGTCTCATAAGGTCTTGGAGATCTATTTCACACCAAAGATAGCTGAGCTACCTTAGAAGGCATAAAATCAGCAGAATGGCTTCTGTGATAGTGTTGGAAACAAAAAGGTTTTAATAAAAGGCAAAATAACAAACTCTTTACAGAGACAAACCGATCCAGGTGCAAGAGGCCCTCTTGCTCTTGGTAAAACACCTCACAAAAGCGATCACTCTGTCAACAAAAGACACATTCCTATATTCTCCCTGTGGAGAAATGCTGGTAAAACCTCATGAAAATCTCTGTGAGGCCAAAGTGAGGCCATGGAGGTCAAGGCAAGGGTCCTTCCACTGGGTGAATATCTGCAGCCATGGCTGTGGCAGGTCTTCGGGGAAGGGCGGAGCTTTCCCAGGAGAGAGGAGTTTGGTGTGTGGGAATGCAGCTGGCTGGTGCCCATCGGGGTCCCCCTCCTCTGTCACTCCCCACTGCCCCATGTGTATTTTGGTCACTGCAGCTTCTGAAGTAACCCTGGGCTTGTGGCTCTTCCCTGCCTAGGACCTGGTTGCCTGGATAACTGCTGGCTTCCTCCACATTCCGCACTCTGAGGATATTCCCAACACTGTGACCGTGGGAAACTCGGTTGGTTTTCTCCTGAGGCCCTACAACTACTATGACCTGGACCCCTCTATATACTCCCAGGATGGTGTGTTCTTCACCAGCGAGCAGGACTTTACAGCATGTGAAATCAACCCTCTTGCCTGCTTGCCCAAAACTGCCTCCTGTTTGCCAAATTTCCCCCCATTCACCTATGATGGTTTTCGAAATATGACCAGGGTTTAATGCTGCAGGATGGTGAGGAGATGTGGTCAGAGACACCAGGCTGACCGTTCTGTCTCCGATTTTCAGCTTTTTAGTGAAGTTGTCTCAATTTTCAGTTGTCCAGTGACTTCACATTTTGTCATTGCTTTTGAAATAGTGCTCTTGAAGAGGGAAACATGATTTTGCTAACATGATGTGAGATGGAAGTCTACATTATCTGTTAGTTCCTGAATTTGAGTCTATCGCCAGAGGAAAGTGAGGAGAGAATCCTGTTCCTCTGCTGTAGAAGCAAGTGCTGTGTAGTGCATATCTCAGGTTAAAATAATGAAAATGGTGCTGGTCCAATGCTCTAAAGTGTCTCTTTCTTACAACTTACAGCAGCGTCTCCTGGGGATAGTGCTGGACTCTGCCATGTTTCCTGTGCCCACAAACACCCAGCGTGGCTCTGGGTGTTGTCAGGGCACGGGGATGTCCAGCTGGAGGGCAGGAGGGACAAGCTGTGGTGGAGGTGGGCACTGGCACCAAGCTCTGTGGCTGTTGGGCTGTTGGGTCGTGGCCAGGACTGTGTGGGTTGTGGCTGTCAGGCCCTCAGTGCTGGGCACAAGGCAGGGATCTGGACAGGACCTTGCAGGAAGTGGTTTAATGGCTTTAATGGTTTCATCTTTCCTGGCTGTTGGTGATGCAGGATGGCCAGTGCCATTGCCTGTTTGGCTGGACCCTGTTCCCCTCCTCCAGCCCCATCTGCGCTAGGCTGTAACTCAGGATCGGTGGGCACCTTTGGAAGGTGACAAACAGCTGTCCCCTGCCCCCTGGCTGCAGGACCATGGGGATGCTGGCAGCAGCAGTGATGGCAGGGCTGTGTCAGGATGGGGCAGTGGTGCTGTGTTTAGCACTGCTCTGCACTGGGAAGGATTGTCTCTCCAGCCACTGCTTCCTGCCCAGCATCTGTGGGGTTAAGAGAAAGAGAAGTGAGAATGTGCTTATTCCCCCTAAACAACTGCATCCATCCTGGAGTTTGTGGCTGGCACACTGGAGGTGGTCAGGCTCAAGCAGCCCCAGGCTGATGCGGTTCTGGGCTCAATGAAGACCCGGCGCCTGCCTGGGCCCCCGGGCCCGCTGCAGTTTGAGCCGCAGGGTCCCCGCTACAGCGTCAGGAACAACCACATCACCTTCCAGGGCTGGAGCATCGCCTTCGGCATGAACCCCAACACTGGCCCGCGCCTCTTCGACATCAGGTACCGCGGGGAGAGGATTGTCTATGAGCTGAGCCTGCAGGAAGCCTTAGCCCTGTACGGCTCCAACTGCCCGGGGGGAATGTCCACCCGCTACCTGGATGGCAGCTTTGGCATCGGCAGGTTTGCCTACGAGCTGGTGCGGGGCCTGGACTGCCCCTACACAGCGACCTACGTGGACCGGCACTACCTGGCAGAGACGGATACTCCCAAAACCAACCAAAACTCCCTCTGCATTTTTGAGCACGACTCTGCCCTCCCTCTGAGGCGCCACTTCTCCGACTCACAGTCCTTCTACTACGGTGGGCTGAGGAAAAACACGCTGGTCATCCGCAGCATCTCCACGCTCATCAACTATGACTACATCTGGGACTTCATGTTCCATGCCAGCGGGGCCGTGGAGGTCCGGGTGCACGCCACTGGCTACATCAGCTCCTCCTTCTTCCATGGCCGAGGCACCGACTATGGCAACAAGGTTGGGCCCCACACGCTGGGAACGATGCACCTCCACCACATCCACTACAAGGTGGACCTGGATGTTGACGGTAGGTCTGGCCACCTTTGTGCATGGCTGTGGTTTACTGTGGCCTGGGCTGCAGAGCTTGAGAGGGTTTTCTGTTCTGCTTCACAGGGCAGCTGAACTCTGTGGAGACCCAGGATATGGAGTACGAGTTTGTCAGAGATCCCTGGAGCACACAGAGCACCATTGAGCGGCCATACCTCCGCAGGGAAAGGCTGCAGAGGGAGGATGAGGCAGCATTCCCACTCCATGTCCCCATGCCCCGCTACCTGTCCTTTGTCAGCCCCAATCCCAACAAGTGGGAACACCCACGCAGCTACAGGATCCAGATCATCAGCTTTGCTGGGAAGCACCTGCCCACCAACAGCTCCATGGAACGCTCTGTCAGCTGGGGCAGGTGGGTGCCAGGGCTGTGCAGCCTGAGGCTCAGCTGCTTCTGCTCCTGGTGGAGGGAGGTTCTCACCCCTGGGCAGGCCTGCACCAGGCTGCAGGGAAGGGTTAAACAAAGGGTTAAAGCAAACATGCTTTTTCAGAGCTTTTGGCTCTGAAATTTCCTTGACATATTGCTCAATAACATCTGCTTACAGTAGTTCACAGGCAGGAGTCTGACCCCACGTCAGACTAATTTAGAGCAACCCCATGTGTTTTTCCCTTTGAGGGGAAGTAGGCTGCAGAATGAATTCCTAAGGGAACCACTGGCATTGCCAGGTTGTGATATCTTCCCACGAGGACAGAATGCCTTTTTGGAAAATGCTTGGGATAAGCACAGACCAGTCTCACTGCCAGGGTGAACTGGTGGAGCTCATGCTGGGGAAGTCTGTGTGGGGAGAAGCAGCTGTGGCTTAAGGGAGTGCACTGGGCACTGAGTGGCAGCGTTTGCACCTGGATCCATCCACGTTTCCCAGCCATGCTGGAAAAGCCACAGGCGGCAAGGGATCCCCCACAAAGCTTGGAGATGCTGGGGCTGCTGCCCATTATTGCCCTCTTGGCCCTTTCCTCCCTGCCCCAGGGCAGACTGGGGATGCCCAGCCCCAGTTTGGCAGTGCCTCCCAGCTGGCAATGCCATGGCTGGTGTGGGCAGGCCCCTGTGATCCCTGTGCTGGCAGGTACCAGCTGGCTGTCACCCGGAGGAAGGAGGAGGAGCCCACCAGCACCAGCATCTACAACCAGAACGACCCCTGGACACCCACTGTGGCCTTTGCTGACTTCATCAACAACGAGACCATCACCAACCAGGTGAGCTGGGGTTCCTGGGATGGAGAGAAGCTGAACCTTGTGGGGACACCCTGGCTCCTGCCCTGGACAGAAGCTGCTCGTGTCCCAGAGCCAGACTGAGCAGCTGCTGGGCTGGCAGAGTCCTGCTCAGCCTGACAGATGCCTCGTTCCTCTTCTCCCAGGACTTGGTTGCCTGGATCACTGTGGGGTTCCTGCACATCCCTCATGCTGAAGACATCCCCAACACAGTGACAGTGGGGAATGGTGTTGGCTTTTTCCTGAGGCCCTACAACTACTTCAACGAGGACCCCTCAGTGGATTCACCTGACAGTGTCTACTTCAGCAGTGAGCAGGATGTTGGGGCATGTGGGGACAATCCCCTTGCCTGCCTGTCCCCTGCTGCCACCTGTGCCCCCCGCCTGCCCCCCTTCCACTTTGGGGGCTTCCTCAACCTCAGCCTGGCACCGCCTCTTGGCGGGCCCTGATGGGCCAGGGGCTGCTGCTGCCTCTCGGGTGGGTGCTCAGAGGGTCTCTGTCCCACAGCAGGACCTGCCCTCCCCCTGCCCAGGGTGTCCTGTGCTCAGGGTCAGGTTTTGGGAGAAGCTCAGCTCTTGTTTCAGCACTGCCAGAGGAGGACCCAAAGCCTCTGAAAAGCAGCTCCTGGAAGTGATTTTTTTGTTTCACCCTGGATGTCACCCTGTGTACTGTGGGGTGCCCACAGCCGCTCCCCTCCTCCGGGATGGGCTTCCACCACCCCCCATCACTGCTGCACACAGGGGCACAGTGCTGGCCACAGCACAAAGCTGCAGCTGCCCTCGGAGCTGTGGTCCAGCTGAGGTTTTGCCCACAGTGGCAGGAGTGAGTGGTGTGGTGCTGCTGTGGAACTGCCACAGGATGCCCAAATCTCCTCCCCAGCCACACAGCCATTGCAGCATCGAGGGCCAGCAGGGCCAGCTCTGCAGAGGGAGGTGCTGCCCTGGGCTCACTGGGAGGCTGCTGGAGGAACCCATGGCTACAGGAGCCCATGGCTGGGCCTCTGGATGGGCACTGCCCGGGCTGGCTGCCCCGTGTGTGCCCTTCCCAATAAACAAGCACTCGAGTGCTTCTCCTGAACAAACTCCTGGGTGCTGCTCTGTCTCCTGTGGCACGGCTGAAGCCCTGTTAGGGATGGCACTGGCTCAGCTCTGTGGGGCTCCCAGGGCTGTGGGGCTGCCCCAGAGCCTGGCACCGTGCCTGGCATGGCTGTGTGAGTTGTCCTGGCGATGCTCCTGGACCCCGGTGCTGGCAGGAGGCTCCTGCCAGGGAATATGGAGCAAACAAGGGAGTTAATGTTTAACAGTTGTTCTGAGCTGTGTTAATCAGTCCTGGGCTTGGCTGCTGCCCAGCCTGCTCAGCCCCTCTGTGTGGGGACCCTTGATTCCACACCCCTAGTGCATGTGCAGCTCTGGGCTGCAGGATCCCACAGAGCCCCTCCCCACCGTGCCAGGCTGGCGTGGCGACACCAAGAAGCTTGGTGACACCAGTGCCAGCCCTGGCCCATGGCTGAGATGCTAAACACTCACCAAAGTGTCCCTGGGGGCACGGTGGGTATCCATCCCCTCTGACCCCTCCTGCAGTGGATGGGTCTGTCCAGAACATGCTGAGAGGGGCTTGAGCAGCCCTAATGTCTGAGCATGTGCCCCTGGGAGCCAGCTCAGCTTGCTGCAGCACATGGGAGAGGTGAGGGGAGGCGAGGGCAGCTTGGGCCATGGCTCAGTGTGGGGCTGCAGCGGCCCCTGGGTGCCCTGGGCTGTGCCCAGAGGAGGAAGGTCGTGCCCAGCCAGCTCCCTGCCCACCGTGTGCCCACATGTGCGGTGCTGACGCAGTGACCACGCTGCCACAGCCCAGCCTGGACCTTGCAGCTGTCAGGGAACATTCCGGACCAAACACGGGCACTCCACGTGGCACGTTCAGCCCCCACTGGTGCTGTGCTGGCCAGAGCTGCACCTGAAACCTTGGGCAGCACGGCCGCAGCGTGTGGCAGAGCCTTGGGAGCACGGGCACAGCGTGTGCCAGAGCCTTGGGCAGCACGGGCACAGCGTGTGGCAGAGCCAGCATCCAGAGCCTTGGGCAGCACGGGCACAGCGTGTGCCAGAGCCAGCTGCCACTGCAGTCACACAGCTGGGCAGAAGTTGGGCTCCCCCAGCCTGGCCCCAGTCCTTCCTTGGAAAGCCAGCCCGTTTGCAGTTCACATCCCAGTGGTGCTGCTGGCAGGGCCGTACAGAGCAGCACCCTGAGCAATTGTCAGACCAGGCAGAATGCAGAACCCTGCAGTGCCCAGGCAGCTCTGCTGCCCTGCCCTGCCCCAGGTTCACACAGTGACTTTGGGGCTGGGGATTTATCCACAGGGCAGGGCATGGAGCAGTGCTGGGACCGTGTGGCACCTCTGGCACAGTCCTGACCAGTGGCATGTACACCTGGCTCTGCACAAACACACTGGGGTACTGGGCTGAGCCACTCTGTCCTCTGTGCTGGGAGGGAGGAGGTGGCTGCTTCCATCCTGCTTCCTGCTCTCTCCCCATTATGGCCCCAGTTTTCCTGCAGTGACTTTTTCCTAGGGGACTGGAGTGCTAGTCCCCATCCCCCAGCACCTTTTGCCCCATTTTCCGCTGTGAAATCTCCTGGGAAGGATTTATTGCTGATGGTTTCAAAATATTTTTGGAACAGAAGCCAAGTCTGTTGCATTCCTTCACGTTGGCCAAAGTCACTCTCAGTTGAAGACCCTGGAATGAGCTGTTAGGGAATTTATTTTGCAAGAGCAATTATGTTTCTCTGCAAACTCCTTTTTTGTTGGGATGTTTTGCTGGTCAGGAGCTCAGTCCAGGGTCTGGGACCACCTTCCTTGGGTGCAGCACGGCCAGGCTGGATGGGACATGCCTGCAGCAGGGCTGAGTCTGTGTCTGTGGCCTTTGCCTGCTCTCCTCCCAGGCCATCCATGCCCATATCCCAGGGAGCAAGGTTTGCTGGTGTTTTGCCTGGCAGACCCCATGGCTCCCTGGGCTCTGCATGGGCAGAGGGGCAGGATGGGGCCTGTAACTCCTGCTGTTTGTCAGCAGGACTCAGGACTGGACACAGCTCTCACAGAGACAAACAACATAGGGCAGGAGTTCAAGGATCCTGACATGAATTTTCTCAGGAGGGAGATAAGTGATGCATTTCACTGGCTGTTGATCATTAATGCCCTGCTGCCTGCTCAGCTCTGGTGGGTGCTGGCTGGGCACCCTGTGCTGCTGCCACAGGGCTGTGTCCAGGCACTGGCAGTTGTGGGTGACAAAGATGCAGTGCCAGCACTGCTAGCAGGGACAGCAGAGTGCAGCTGGGGTGGAGGGGATGCCATGGGCACTGCAGGATGAGTTCTGTGCTTGGCTCTGTACCCACAGCTGGGGTCTGATGGGGCAGGAGGGATTAACCCAGTGGAGCAGTGCTGGGAGAAGAAGTGCAGTCTCTATTTGCAAAGGTCCTTCTAGACCCACTAGAGATCAGAAGAACACGACTGGCAGCCAGGAGCATCCCAGGCCTGGCTGTCTGGGACTGCAGGGACCTCCAGGAACGGCTTTGAAAGTTTCCCATTATGCAAAGTCCTGGTTAAATTAGCCTGGCAAATGAGGAGGGGGGTGGGCAGTCTGCCCTCTGGTCCATGCACCCACAGCATGCTCCTGGGCATCCTTGCCATGCTCTGGTGGTGGTTCACAGGGGGGTGGCAGAGAGACCAGAGCAATTGACAGCCCTGGACGTGGCAGCTCTGCAGGACTGTCACACACAGAGTGTGGGATAATGGAGCAAGGGCTGTGGGTCAGCCAGAGCAGTGAGCTGTTGTCCTGGCTAGCTGGAGGAGCCAGCTGCAGGATCCCCCTGTGTGAGGGGATGGTGAGGGGCAGGGGATGGTGCTGGGGTTGGAGCACTGCGCTCCACGTGCCCTCGAAACCTGTTTTCCCCTTTTACGTAAGCTGTTCCAAACATGTTTGTTACAACCCCCTGGTGATGTACCTTTGGAAAGAGTGGTTTTGGGTCCAAAGATCAGTGCTGGGACAGTGACCTGCCCGCTGCAAACAAGACCCTGCAGAGTATAAAACCCCAGTGGCACAGTGGAGTACGGGACAGCCAGAGGCACGCCGAGGGCAGAGAGGAAGATGGAGGCCAACATGAACCTCCTGCATGATGTGGGCATCCAGACCACACACTGGCTGCAGCAACGCTTCCAGGGCTCCCAGGACTGGTTCCTCTTCATCTCCTATGCTGCTGATCTCAGGAATGCTTTTTTTGTCCTCTTCCCCATCTGGTTCCACTTCAGTGAAGTAGTGGGCATCAGGCTCATCTGGGTGGCTGTGATCGGAGACTGGCTCAACCTCGTCTTCAAGTGGTGAGTGGCCTCGAGCCAACACTCCCACCATGTGCTGGCACACCTGGAGTGATGTGGGCCAGATGGGTGCTCTCAGCCCCAGGGCTGGAGTAGAATAGAGTTCAGCCCCAGCTGGGCAGTGACAATGGTCACTCCTTCCCAAGCCATGCAACAACAGCTCTCCCCCTCTGCTCCAAGCAGAGATGGAGCCTCCTGCAAACAGAGCCTCCCATCAGCCAGGGCTGGTGCTGAGTGGGGGGATCTCCACAGAGCCCCTCGCCACAGGAGGTCATATTGACTTGCTTCCAGGAAGTTCAGCTCTGGGGCTGGGGCTGGGGATGGGGACATGGACAGGCAGTGTCAGCTGTCAGGACCAGGCAATCAGCTGGGTGCTGTGACTGTAAGGATGCTCTGCACCTTGTGGGTCCTTCGCTTCTTCCATCTCCCAGGACAGATCTAAATCTGCAGTTGCACCCTGGATCTCCTCAGATCCCTTCTCTTTTCTTTTTAGGATCCTCTTTGGGGAGAGACCATACTGGTGGGTCCTTGACACAGACTATTATGGCAACAACTCTGCACCAGAGATCCAGCAGTTCCCGCTCACCTGCGAGACTGGCCCTGGTAGGGTTCCCCGAGCCATGGGAGGGGATTGCAGCCAGGACAGGGGGTGCTTGCCCATGGTGACCTGAACAGGCAAAGAGGGGGGTGCTGGCCTGGCCTGCCTGGCAGCCTGCAGGGAGCACATGCCTCTGGACAGCTCTGGAGAGAGGGCCCTTGCTGCTGTGCTGCTGGGGACACTGGCTGTGCCTGCAGGGGAAGGAGGCAGGGCAGCCCCTGCACAGAGCAGACTTTGACCCTTGGTGAAGCTGTGGTGGATCAGCACAAACCCCTGTGGGTGCTCAGCTCTGGCCCATGCAGAGTCTGACCTGGCTCTCTCTTCTTGCCCAGGGAGCCCATCTGGCCATGCCATGGGTGCAGCAGGCGTGTACTATGTCATGGTGACAGCCCTCCTTTCTGCTGCTGGGGGAGAGAAGCAGTCAAGGACACTGGGATACTGGTAAGCTGAGTGCCAGAACCACCCGTGCCAGGCAGAGGTGGCTCCAGCACTGACAGGCACAGCCAAGCCCATCCAGGTGCAAGGCTGTGGGCTGACAGCTGGGTCTGCATGGGGACAGGCTCAGCGACAGCCAGGCATTGTTTGGAGTACATGATGGCAGTGCCATGGGCAGTGCAAGCTGGCCCTGGCACCAACATGGCCTCCTGTCCCTCACAGGGTGCTGTGGGCAGTGCTTTGGATTGGGTTCTGGGCAGTTCAGGTCTGTGTCTGCATGTCCCGAGTCTTCATTGCTGCTCACTTCCCCCACCAGGTGATTGCAGGGGTTTTCTCAGGTGAGTGTATCAGACCCCCCTCCCTGTCCCTGCAGCAGCACTGTGCTGGACTGCAGTACCTGCAGCACTGACCAATGCTCTCACTTTGTTACTGGCAGGGATGGCTGTGGCCAAGACCTTCCAGCATGTCCGCTGCATCTACCATGCCAGCTTCCACCGGTACCTGGGCATCACCTTCTTCCTCTTCAGCTTCACCCTGGGTTTCTACCTGCTGCTGTGGACATTCGGCGTGGACCTGCTCTGGACGCTGGAGAAGGCACAGAAGTGGTGCAGCAACCCTGAGTGGGTCCACATTGACACCACTCCCTTTGCCAGCCTCCTCCGTAACCTGGGCATCCTCTTCGGGCTGGG